GCGGCCAAGAATTTGGTACTAGCAGTTAAACATGGGGACGGCAGCATTATGATTTGGGAAGGGGTGTATTCCTGCACCTGGAACAGGCAAAATAGTACGCATTGACGACACAATTAACTCTGCAATATACCAATCAATTTTGAACGAAAGTGTCATGCCCTCGGTTCGAAAGTTGGGGTTTGGTCGGGTCACCATCATCCAACAAGACAATGTTCCGAAGAATTAAAGCAAATCCAGAAAAGAATGGGTTCTAAAATATAAATTTCAAGTCTTGGAATGACTGAGTGAAAGTACTGATCTAAAATCAATTAAAAATCTGTGGTTCAAGTTAAAGAAGGCAGTACATGGAAAAGAAAAAAAAAAGAAAAAAAGAAAAAAGGAAATACCAAGCAAGTGTAGGAGTTTTGCCAAGAATAATGGTTAAAGATTGACGTTCACCGCTGCCAGAAACTACTTAAAAATTATAGAAAAAGATTGATCGACCCCTAGAAAGGATACGTCACCAAATATTAAATGTAAGGTTTCACTTTTGAAGATCGTAATTTTTCATTAAATTTTTATTTCAGCTTAATAATAAACATTCAAAGTGGTTGTAATTCGTGTAATAAAGGTTTTTCCTAATGAATATATAGTTTAATTAAGATTTGTTGACTATCTGGAAAAGGAGAATTTAAAAAAAAATATTATCATAGTGGTTTACTTTCTTTTGCGCAACACTATATATAAGTTTTATTGAATGTGACAATTTTTGTAGAAATTGAAAATTAACGCATCAGTAATGTTATAAATTGCAAACAAGATGTCAGCATAAGACATAATAGAAGAACATTTTTACCTAATAACCTTAATTATTGTTCAGTAGTTCAATTACCAGCTTGTCTCTTCTTGGATGCAATTTCAAAATGTTGAGAAACAATTTTCTACCCGTTAGTTTTTTTTATTCTAAATTGACTTCTATTTATTTCATATTCAGTGATTGGTCAGGCTAGAATATGATTTTACAGCCATTAAAATCGATTTGGGTTTGATGGAGATGACAGAATGTCCAGGTATATTATTCTGCTGGAAGACATTATTTCCATCAGGCTAGAATCTCAAGGCAGGGGTGGGAAGTTATCAACAGCACAGAATATCCTGGATTTTGGAGAAGTTAATTTTTTCAAGTTTAATTGACTGTAAAATTTCGTTGCCTAAGAAAGCGCCCCGTAGCAAAATGCCTCTTGCAGCCTCGTTCAGACTCTAAGAGAACATGTTTAGAATATAATTTTCTTCGTAGATTCTAAAACATATTTTACAAGTATCAATGATGAACGGAAACCAGCTTTCATTCCTAATTATCCCATGAGAAAGTCACTTATTGCTTTTTTTTGTCTTAGCCTCTGAACAAATTGACCTCGGTTACTGGTATTTTGAGGTTGGTGAAAATATTTGACATACCTTCTGGACGGAAAACCAGGTTCAAACCATCATCTCGTCACCGTCCATTCTGAGTGATCTTGCGACAGTTTTACATTCCTTGAGTACGAGTTTCGTCAGTATAATATTTTAGAGATCAAAGTAAAAAAAAAATCATTGTTTATTTAAAAGGCAAAATTTCATCTGTCAAAATGCACTTCTAAATTACCAGATTCTTTTCATAAATAATGAAAGGATTTAATTCATAGTGAACGTTTGCATTGTTATTAGGAAATAAAATTAATATTTGTTACATTGAGTGGGCTTTCCTGCTATCATTCCAAATATAAAACTGTATTTCGAACAACTGTCTCTCTCTCTCTCTCTCTCTCTCTCTCTCTATATATTATATATATATATATATATATATATATATATATATATATATATATATCCGAATACAAGATTGGTATATATGGAATAAAATTCCAGTAACCAAACGCATTGTTTAAAAGTGCTCAATACAAAAGTAGAGCGAATAATATTTATTTAAAATTATGACCATAATATATATATATATATATATATATATATATATATATATATATATATTATAAATTAATTGATTTAAAAAATATATTTTTTCGATACACAGTTCTAACCATGTTTCAAAAATGGAAGCTAAAAGCCCCGAATTTAATTTTGTGATTAAATTAAAGACATTAGTTCCATTTCATCCTCGAGCGAATTTTGGAGTAACTTTTTAAAAATTACTGGGTTTTAAATACACAGCTAAAACAAAATTCATGTTTCCAAGGTTACAGATAAATAGATTTATCTGTAACCTTGGAAATATTGCATGGAATATTGCTGTCATATATGGTCTATAAAATCCAGAGACGGATATGCAATGTGATAGGTCCTGATCTGGCACCTAGTCTACAGTTGCTTTCTCACAGACGTGCCGTGCCATCCCTCTGAATCTTCTACAAGTATTTTCACGGCAATTGTTCAGACGAGCTACTTTGGTTCCCAGACTGCATGAATTTAAGCGAGCAACTAGGCTGGCATCTCGGTCCCGCCCTTTCACTGTCAAAACGGTTAAATATAACCGTTTCTTCTACTCAAACAGCTTCTTTTCTCGCACTTCCCGTCAGTGGAACTCCTTTCCCCTTGCTTTATTCAAAGACGCCTGTTTACTCTTGTTCTCAATCCTCTGTAACCCCTTGAGTGCTAGTGGCACTCCCGCCTAGCTTTGGGCGAATTGCTTTAAAAAGTATATATATGTGATTGACAAATATATTTTAAAAATCGATACGAAAACTATATATATATATATATATATATGTGTGTGTGTGTGTGTGTGTGTGTGTGTGTTTAAAGCAATTTCTAAATAATTAATGTATTTTATTTAAACCGATATAATTTTTTATTACTTTAAACGTTATTTTTGTGGCCACTTATATTTTTGTAGACGCTCCGTTTATTTTAAACAATATTTTATTTCGACTACCGGCCTAAACATTTGAAAAATCTTATTAAAGAAAAATACTTCCTTTGGCAGGATTCGGAGCTGTGTAGGTCTTTACAGGACCATCGTTTGATCCAACGTACTTTTGACCTCTTGGGTTCGATTATGATAATGGGGATCTTCGTCGTCGTGAGGTTAAAAACACATCGGATGAAACGACAGTTTTATTTGTTAAGATGGGCGCCGTTTCGAAACCTGTGACAGGGCACATTTTTCTTTAATAAGATTTTTTGTATGTTCTGACCGGTAGACGAAATAATATACTGTTTAAAATAAACGTAACGTCTACTCAAATATTGTTATCTAAATAAAATAAAAAAATTATTTTTTAGTAATATATATATATATATATATATATATATATATATATATATATATATATGGCTCAGTGGTATGACTCTTGCGTTGTATCATAACGGTCCGGGTTGGATACGCACTGCAAAAAAAAAAAAAAAAAGCCGTCCGGTTCTTCCTTCTTTTTGTTGAGGATTCTTGTTCTAGATTCCATGAATTATTATGTGAAATTATTCAAATTTCCAATAGTTTCTATTACTTATAAACCTAAGCTTGATCCATGTTTAATGTCTGGATGGAGTGACTTGGTGAAAGAAGACGTTGCTCTTGGGGCCTGTCCCAGGGGTAATGTATGTTTGGATGAGTATCACCATCGGAATTAGGAGTAGCTGTACTATATTGAGTCTCGTAAGTTACCTCTTCGTCACCGTAGCCCACTGGCCCAGTGTTAAGATGCTTGTGTTCTATCGTAACGGCCCGGGGTTGATTCTCTGTAGTAGATGCGCGCTGTTGATGAGTCCTAAAAAAAGACGAAACGGCCGTCCAGTGCTTTCCGCATTCTTGTTCTAGAGTAATAAATTATTATTTGATATTGTTGTGAGACCGTAACATACCTACAACATGGACTCTTCAGGACTATATAAAGTATGCGATATAACACTCTAGGAGAAGAGGAGGAGAGAGAGAGAGAGAGAGAGAGAGAGAGAGAGAGAGAGATAGATAGTATTCTAATACCGTAGTATCAGCCGCGTACGACTACCAATATTGGACACTAGCACATAGTAAGCTCCGCTTACACTTACACTATCTTTGTAACATTTTTGTTTATATATAATTATTTATTTAAAAATCATAACATAAATATGCTATAAAATCACTACAAAAATAACCATTTATTCCGTATACACCAATCATATACTTGGGTATATATATGTATATATATATATCCAATCACATTTCATTAAATAACACCCATCATATTATGTCTATTTGTTTTTATAATAATCATTTTTAGTTCTTTAATTATCTTCTTGATGAATTTCGACTTAACATCAAGAAGATAATTCGAGCACTAGAAAGGATTATTATAAAAAATAAATAGACATAGTATGTCTGTGTTATTTAATGACACATGCTTGAATGAAGATATGCTGCCTAAAAGTCACACACACACACACACACACATATATATATATATATATATATATATATATATATATATATATATATATATATATATATATATATATATATATATATATATATATATATATATATATATATATATATATATATATATATATATATATATAATTACTTGTATTTATAAATATATATAATTAGGTGTTTATTTGCATGGATTTCGTTTAAGTCTCTCGGTTTGGCACCAAAGGAGGATCTATTTGTATTTTCCACTCAAACAGAAACTAGAATTATTTGTTTACTAGACTAAAACAAACAAATGAAATCCTGTATACACACGCATATACTGTCGTGCAAGAATTTGCATGCATATGTGTACTATGCGCAATGTTTGTACGTTTGAGTCGGGCATCATTATATTTCAAGGAGCCGGTGCAATATCAAAATTGATGCTGCTATTGCTTATCTTGAGTACAAATACTTATCTCAAGGGCCGAAACGGGCTTGGCATCTCCAAGACTTGGTAGTTTGCGTCTAGGGTTAATCAGCCAAGAAATTGGGGGAAATATCAAGGCTGGAAGACAAAAGTGATAAACAGACATTTTAAAATTAAAAAAAATCGACAAGAAAAGAAACGTTAAGGATAGAGAGAGAGAGAGAGAGAGAGAAAAGAGAGAGAAAATAGAAAAGGAGATGAAAATTTTAATATTGCAGAAAGAGAGAAAGAAGCTGATAGATAGAAAAGGAAAGGAGAATAGAAAAGAGAGTAAGATTGAATATCAAGGAATTTAGCGATGTTAATTATGCAGGGATAGAAAAACGCAAAAAGTGTAAAGAATAATAAAAAAATGAAAAAATAAGAAAGACTAAAGGAAAACGATATTAGTCAAGAAACAAGATGGAGAAGTCGAAAAAAAAACTATTAAACAAAATGTCGGAAGTTTGAAGAATGAAAGGAAAGCATGAATAACTTCTCCGCATAAACTATTTATTTATTTGTTTTTTGATTTTGTTTTTTTTTTCTCAATAAGTGTAGATAGTTTGACCTATTGTCCTTTTCACACTCCTCCCCGTTTTTTTGAACAGTAGAGGTTCATCCCTTGTTTCCTGTTTAGGTTTGGATTTCCGGTTCGTTCCTCCTAAAGTCTTTTCATTCTCTTTCACTCCCAGTCGCCCCTTCCGTCTTGGTGGCATTATTGTCTTGCTTAGGGCGAACTGATTAAATCAATAAATAAACAGAAATAAGAAAGAAAAAGATAAACAAAAGGCAGTAAAGAAATAATTAAAAGGAGAGCGAATATGAATAGAAAGATTTAGGAGATAAAACTACTGAGTGGACAAAAGAGATAAAGAACATTGTAATAAAGAATAAGTCAAAGATCAAAGAAAGATATACAGAAACGAAGTACATATCGATCAATATAATGAATTCTTTTAAACAAACAATAACGAACAAAAACACTATAAAAATATAGTTGAAACAAAGGTTAATTTGAAAGCTATAAAAATTATTATTATTATTATTCCATCTTCCTCCTCGTTTTTGTCGTGCCGTTTCAGTAACTCATTGAATTATGAAATATTCTTGATGGCCTTTATTTACATTATTCGGACTATTGTCCTCATCTTTGTCGCCATATTTATCACAACGTTTCGGCCGTTGTACGCTCCGGCCTTCATCAGGTGGTTGGAATGTCGAATTGAACCCTTTATTTCGCTCACTGCGGTAGACTGTTCTAGTTCCACGTGCCATGTTTTGATGGATGTCAGTTATCAGTTATCTCCTGTTAATTTTCCCTCTGAAAGTTCTTCACTGCCTTAACCGGGTATTGAACTCACACTCTTTGGGTCCTGTCACCAACGCCTTTATCCACTGTGCCATGTGTCCTTGAGGATATAGACAGATTCTTGATGGCATAGAAAGATATTAAATAAAGATTTCAACAAGTTTGAAAATTAGTCATCAAAATATTTTTATTCTTTTGACCTAAGATTGTGTGCACTTCATCTATATACATGTCATGTCTCTTCAGGATGTGGTAAATAATGGCTCTCCGCAACTTCCTATACTTTGTAGCTCTTCGTAAGGTTTGACCTTTTGCTATGTCTCCTAATTCCTGTTCTTCCAGCCATTTTCACAAGCTCGTTAGGTAGGTTATGTGTCACTTTCCTCTGTCTCTCTTGCATTCAATATGCCATGTGAGTGTCAAAATATCCAAGCCCACTTCTCATTATGTGCCCTAGGCATTTCAATTGTAGTATCATTTTTGTTTCCATTTTTTTCTAAAACTTCGGCGTAATGTTCAGTTCATAGTATTCTCAGTATCTTTCTGTAGATCCAAATTTCTGTTACTTCAAGTTTCTTCGACATCTGTGAGAATACGATTCAGCATTCACTGACATACAAGAGGATCGATATTACGTAATAACTTTTCAATCTTGTCTTTGTTTCTAACGACAACTTCTTGTTTCTTTGATTACCTTTTGGTTTAAAAGAGAAAAAAATGTCACAGTAATTAATGGAATAAGAGAGAGAGAGAGAGAGAGAGAGAGAGAGAGAGAGAGAGAGAAAGCAAATAGCAGAATTTATATCCCCCAATAAAGAGATGAAAGTATGGAAGGAAAAAGGGGAGAAAAAGCAGAAGTTATGTACCCCAAGACAGGGATAAAAGTAAGGAATGAAAAGGGAAAAAAAAGCATAATTTATATCTCCCAAGAAACTGAAGGAATGATGAAAGCAGAAGTTATATCCCAAAGAAAGGGAAGAAAGAATGGTAGGAAAAAGGGAAGAAAAAGCAGAAGTAATATCTCTTCAAAATGGAAGGAAGGATGGTAAGAAAAAGGCAGAAAAAAACATGTTATATACCCAAAGAAAAGGAAGAGAAATGGAAAGAAAAAGAGGAGAAAAATTAAAAGTTGCGAAGAAAAAGCTTAGTAAAAAAAAAAAAAAAAAAAAAAAAGAAAGAAAGAAATAAAGAAAGAAAGAACAGAAAAATAAACACTTGCCTTAAGGTTTCCTGATATAATCTATAATCTTTTATTATTGTAAACTTATTACGGTCGCCGAAGTATGTCTCCAATCCACGCCCAATAATTTTACAGGGATAACGATGGTAAACTACACTTGAACTTACGTTCAGTTTGGGTGGACATCTGGGAAGATATTTCATAACTTCAGAAAATTGTCCTCTTTCTTTCTTTCTTTCTTTCGCACACACAGTGAAATTAAAAATAGTAAAAACACTTTAGGAATTGTTTTCTTGAATATAAATATTTTAAATGTAACTTTCTTTTTTTGCAAAGATAATTTTATGTTTCAGAACTTTCGGCCGAGATTGCCTTTTTTACAAGAATATAATGATTTATAATCATATTATCCATTATTAAATCACTTAAAGAATGTTAGATAATAAAAGGGAATTTTGTTTTTGGCAAGTAATGCCAAATTAACATACTATCAATATTTTGAAATTATTTTCCACAAGAAATGAAGTAAAAGACAAAATGAAATTTCTGCACATTATTTGTGCAACTTTTAATTCCTTAAAATAATTTCCAATAACCAACATCTAATGCTGCCAATAATTCAGATCATTTCATTTTTCCAACCCTTCAGCTGGGATTTCCGGTTTTTTTTTTGTTTTTTTACAAAGATATAATCAATTTTACCCATTTTATTTGTTATCAAAGCCCAGGTTAATTTCATGGCGACCTGTGAAATTCCCTGGGCATAAGGAATTGTTTCATACATACAACATCCCAGCACTTTGTCGATTTTTATTTTTATTTATTTTATTTTTTTCAGTTAACGTTGCATCAGAAGCAGGTATTATTAAGATGTATCTTAGTAGACGAGACATCAGTTACTAGTCGTCTATATTCACCAATAAAGGCATAGATCGTACTCGAACTGGAGAAAGTGCAAGTTAGACTAAAGGATAAGGTGGTAGTTATATGATCAATTGGATGATTATGGTGTTGCTGTGTGGTGGTTACGTAAAATTTTTTCGGCAGCATGCGGTTACCGAAAGCATACATTTACTTCTTGCTGTGTTCTTTTCCAATGTCGGATGTCTTGGAAAATATCTCATCACTGGCATGGTTGACGGAGAAAAGACTGGATGTGTAAGAAAACATCACTTCCATAATAAAGCTATATTAATATCTCCAAAGATAACTGCCTATGATTACACTGGAGGTAGGCGAAAGGAATGGCAGTAGTTTATTTCGTAACTGGAACATGGCTTCGAAACCATGTTTTTATTTGATATTCTTTCTGTCTGGCAATTAAGTGCCCTTCAAAGAAAGTCGACTTTATAATGTTGGTCATAATATTCAGTCATTTAGCGCAAGGGATTAGATGTGTTGGTGATAATCATCTTACTTGGCAGCTGTTTTGCAAACAGTAGTGATTTACAATAAATTTCATTTGTTAGTGCTTGCGGTACTAGCAATGTTCTTACGTGGAAAGTATGATGCAATTTCCTGTCAAAAATATACTTGCGTCGTTGGTTTTATATAGTATTTTTTTCCCGCTTTTCCTTTAATCTGGGAGAAAAAGAAACTTAATGGATGTAGGGATATAGAAAGGCTAAAGTTTCTCTTTTTACCATATATCATAAATGATAACTATTTATTTTTTCACCTTATGTAATATATTTTGCCATATATTCTAAATGATAGCTATTAATATATTTAACTTATATAATATTTTTATCATATACCAAAAATGATAAATATGATTGTTTACCTTATATCATATTTTTTTACCATACATCATAAATGATAACCATTAATTTTTAAAGCTTATACAACATTTTACGATATAGCATAAATAATAGATATTAATATATTTAACTTAAACCATTTTTAACCTTATACCATATTTTTTACAATATATCACAAATGATATCAAATAATTTATTTAACTTATATCATATTTTTTGCCATAAATCATAAATGGTAGCTATGAATTTTTAAACCATAATCGTATTTTTAACATAGCATAAATGATAGTTACTAAATTGTTTTAACTTATTTCATATATTTTACCATATATCATAAATAATAAGTATTAATTCTTTTATCTTACATCATATTCTTACTATGTAATAAATGATAGTCAGTTATATTATTTTTTTTTATTATGAATTATAGAGCGAATAAATTTTAATAGAGGATTTCATTGCTAATTTTGACCAATGTATATACATTTGCAATTGTATTTCTTTTAATATTTATTTGATACAATATTAAAAGCGCAGCAGTAATTTCTTCGCTCATGTGCCAAGTTCTTCCTGGACGTGAAGCGATCATGTCTCTCCACAAATTCCAGGTTTTTTTTTTGTTTCTAATTGTTTTATCTGTTAACATCCAAGCGCACACATAAAAAGGGAAATAAAAAATATAAGAAAAAAGCAATTGAGCAAATATCTTAAAAGCCAAACAAAAGATAATTAAAAATTTCCTATCATATATTTTTAATATACTTTTATTATTTGGAACTATTGTTCTCACATTGGTTGATATAGATGTTATCAAAGACACAGTGTTTCGAGCAAATACCCTCTGGTTATAATCAGGTGTCCATTGTTTGGTTGATATGGGTTATCTGTTGTTTACTGTGTTATATTTTTCCTGTGATACAAGTTACTGTTCGTTCCTGCTGAAATCGTGTTTCATTATCTAATAGCACATACGACCACTAGATAACAATAACATATGTATAAACAATGCCTATATCCATTTGCCACTTTCCCTAAGGTGTATTTTTGGAGCATTTACATTCAGTGACAGTCGGTTTCGATATTTGGTTCGTAACGCTTTTTATAATTTAGTGTTTCATTTTTGAGATTAGTATTTGTCAATATATCATGATGAATCCTGTAAATAAACAGTTTGATAAATAGTTTTCAATTATTTTGTTGTCAATTCTTGAGAAAAATAAAGTTTAAATCCAGATATTCGCAACCTATTTTAGTGAATTTATGTGTCAAGTGCAAATGAATGAAATTCCTAGAAATTGGATTTTTTTCCAAAATTTATAATCATGCTTACTTGTAGTGATGTATTTGTTTCAGTTTTTTATTCTTAGACATTTTTATAAATATAAAAATATTGCACTGTAGTTTGTTCACATATCTTTATAAAGTTGTAAATATAAAATTATTCTTGCAAATAAACAATCTAATAAAATAAACAGTTTAATTCTTTTGTCGTAATTTCTAGAGTAAAAAAAGAATGAATACTTTCTTTATTCTTGTGTTTTGGTTGTATGAAAATTCTAAAATAGCGTTTTAAAGCTTTAATAATTGTTGAGGGAGTGTACAATAATAATAGTGCCATGGGAACAGGGATTACTCTTTCTTGCTAGTGTCATGTAACTCAGTACAACTTGTCGCATGTCGCTTAGAGAGAGAAGATAAGAATATTCAACGGTTGCAATAGCAACTGGAATAATATCGTTCATAAATACCAATTTCCGTTTTAATTCTTGTGTCCTTTTCTTGAGCCATGACTGAAGGTTGACCCTTCGGAATTCAACATAAACAGAAGATTTCACATTATGAAATGGATAAAGTCCGGCAAATATTTTAAAGACATTTTTTTATGTTTATACGTTCTTTTTATACATACAAATATTTAAGTAAATGCTCTGTTTTATAATAAACAGTATTAATGTCATTTACCGGCCTGAATGTCCGAGAAATTTCCATAGAAAATATGCGTCCTCCGACAGGATTCGAAACTGTATCTTATACGGAACCATCATATAGCCTGAAGTGCTTTTACAGATTGAACCACAGAGGAGCGTTTCGGTTAGCAAGGTCGATTTTACTGTTTTTAAACTACAATTCTCCATGATGCGTATCCAAATGTAAACAAATGACGTCACACATTATGGTATGGACAAAATCTGACAGTTATTTTTTTTTTATGAAAAGGACGTATAAACATAAAAAAAATGTCTTAAAAATATTTGTCGGACTTTGTCCATTTCATAATGTGTGACGTCATTTGTTTACATTTGGATATGTGGCCCAATCGGTTAAAAGGCACGTCAGGCTATATGACGGTTCCGTATAGGATACAGGTTTGATTCCTGTCAAACGACGCATATTTTCTATGAGAATTTCTCGGACTTTCAGGCCGGCAAATGTCGTTAATACTGTTTATTATAAACAGAGCATTTACTTAAATATTTGTATCTATAAAAAGAACGTATATACAGAAGGTTTCATTTTTACGCCATCAATAACTCTCTGGAGATCAACCAACTTATTCGCAACAATTCATGCACCATACGTGACACTTTTCTCTAAATTAGGGTGAGAATAGCTAACTTATGGAGTGACCAGTGTGCTTAAGTATTTAAAGGACAATAAAATTGCAGAATGGTGTATACTTATGATTTGTAGATTAAGTTAACTAACGTTTGATAATGTACAAAACAAAGTACTGTCTGAACTCCTACAAGAAGGTAGTAAAGGAAAGCGAGAAGAAAAGACTAACCACCAATTGTAACAAGACAAAATATAAGGTTGTCAGTGTGACGTCGTCCCCCGATCGCAGCGCCGACTGTGACGTTCTATCCTGATCTACCACGACGCCAGTTGTGACGTCCCCAAACAGCACCAATTGTGACGTCCTCGCCGCGGCGCCAGCTGTTCGCTCCTCGCTGCTCCGTTCGAGTGTCGCTGCTCCAAACGTGACGTCCGCCTGTCGCGTCAGTCGTGTTGTCTCGTCCTGTGACGACCAACTGGCTTGGTATCGGTCGCGGCATCCAAATGTGACGTTTCTAACCTTCTCA